GCAACCATTAGCTGAATGTACTATCAATAAAATCCTGGGTCACAAGTACTCACCTTAATATTTAAAAAAAAAAAATAATCATCAATTGTAAATTATTGCAGATGTTTCTACAAGATAGAACTTGTCTTATTTCTTATAATAATTTTTACAAATTTGAAGTATTATTAATATAATGATAACTAATTTAATATTAAACAATAATTTGCAAACCTGAAAGGATGGTATTTATCTAAAAAAAATTAATCTAACAAGTATAAAATAGGATGTTATATTAACATTAACTGCAGTTTTAAAGTTCTTTGCTAAAGTAACTAAACTATTAAAAGGCAGTAAATATGCTACTATTAGTTTTATATATAATGTAATTATTATAATTAAACAAGAACTTATTTAATTTATAAGTAAAGCTTCAAATGCAGATTTGGATTCTTCCAATAATGTTTTCAAAAATAATGTTATTTATGAGGATAAAAAAGATGAGAGAGTACAAGTAAACTAGTATTAATTAAAAAGTAGTGTTGAATTAATATTAATAATTCACAAAATTATAAAAGTCTTAAAAAAATAAAGCTACATTATATAATGCTATGGTATATTATTGAGAAGTGCCTAGTGATGAGACCATGCTAGCAACACTTTTAAATTCTTAATGCAAGCCCTTTTTTTTATATCAGAATCTTTAAAAAATAAAACCTTTAAATTGTTTAAAACTAAACATAAATAATTACAAGTTCTATACAGAATAGAAGAAGAGAATAATAAGCAAAACCATTCTAATTCTCTATTAGCTTTAATGTTTCATAATATATGCTTATAGTTAGAAGTTTCAGATTATCTTAAAGCTCAAGAAATTCTATAGAATCAATGTTCACTAACCTAGTATTACAATAATTAGAGCTAGTTTTTTGTATAATACTAGTGAATTTTATAATAATTAAAAAGTGTTTTCTAGAAATAATATTGATAAATTGATATATATTCAATTTAGAAGCTTTATTATATCAAAAAAAATTTTAAAAGCTATTATATTGTATTTCTGATATTATTATATCAGAGATGTTAGTTTTTAATTTGAGATATAGAACTCATTTTGCTAAAATGTTAACTTATAAAATATTAAAAATTACATAAATATCTTTACTTAATAAAGTTGTTTTTAAATATTAAAAAAACTTCTATTATTAGTATATTGAATTTAATTCATATTAAAATCATACAAAGGATAATTATTTAATTTTTAAAAAGTCTTAAATATATCACTCTTTGATATACAAATATACTGTAATTACTATTTTATTAACCAGTTTCAATTAACTATATATATATTATTATTATTATTATTATTATTATTAAATATTAAAGTGAGTACTTGTGACTCAGAATTTTATTGTTAGTATATTTGGCTAATGGTTGTATTATAACTACAGAGGCAATTATAAAAAGAGTATACAACTAGCTACTTATATAACTTTAGTTATTGTCTAATTTAAGTAGTTTGTCCAAAGGTTCTATACTAGCTGCTATACCTGAAACCTGTTTGTAGATTCCTTATTTAAACATTCTAGTTTTCATATCAACCTGCTTATCTCTGCCTACTAACAATTCTAACTGATGTTGATAAAAATATGTCATGGTTACTAAATCTTTAAAGTAGTTCACTCATATAGAGAACCTTTGATCTTGTATTAAACCTTTCAAAATCTTCTGTATTTCATTCTTATAGTTGATACAGTATTACTATAATTAAGATCAATATTTGTAGTCAAGGTATATTATTAAACTGCTATGTCCTTTTAGAGTTCATCTCAACTCTAGTACTAACTTTACAACATATTCTTATTATTTTAGTATTCAATTTAAGTTTGACCAAGCTGCCAATTCAGATAGCCTAGAAAGATAAGTCTTAACCATACATCTCTAGTTTATATGTTCTTTAACATGTACTTTTTTTTCTAAAATTTGGAAATTCCAGTGATCTGGTTGGTTCATTCAGTTTTTTTTCAAAGATTAGTACATTTGTTTAACTTCATAAGTTTTAACTCTGTTTTATAAATCTAATCTTTATAGTAACATTGTTAAAAGTTCAAGTTATCTTTCTACTTAAGTCTTCCAAATAAGCTTCAATCTTTCTACTTAGTTTCTGTGATTTATATAATCTAAAGACTTATTATGGGTTCATATCGCCTGGTACTGGTTTGTGTTTCTTCATGCAACATTGTATGAATACCTAAACCTTCCAGTTATGTTGATATAATATGGGTTACAAATATTTAATTTCAACTAATTACAGAAGACAGTTAACCATAACACAGAAAGAATTGCAAATTTTTACCATTACTGGAATTTGAACTCTAAACCTGCCACTTGAAAATAGACAACCTGACCACTTCACTAGATTACCACATCCCCACATACATATTATTTCATTGTCTATTTTGAATCATTATATTTAATGTTTCACAAATTTTTTTTCTAAATTTTATAGTGATTAATATATGATAAAATCAAATAATTATAAAATATTACAGGACTTTAATGCATCTCTTTTATCTTAAGTATTTTGAGTTATTTTGAATTTTAATACTTCATATACCAACTAATGCTGATTAAATAAATTATTATATACAATTAAATTAGTAAATATCAATATCTAAATATATATTAACAAGGGAAAATTACAGACTTTCAACTATATTTTGTTCAAATACAATTTATTTAATTAATTAGAAAATGTGTCTGATATAGAGATGACAAAAAATTTATTTATTCTTAAATATTTTTACATATTTAAATATATTCTTATAAATTATGATAAAATTAATATGGCAAAATAAAGACTGCGAGTTTAATATATATTTTTTTTTTAAAAAAAAATAAATGAATGAATTTTGATATAAATTTTTGGCAGCAAATTTATGTTTTTTTTCAAATTGTTCTTCCAAATTATCATCCTTATTTTCCATATCATCAAATTCAACATTCGCTACAGTATTTTCAAGACTTGCTTCATTAGAATTAGCTATATTAGTTTGAATAATTTGATCAAGTCTATTTTCTTTATTGTGAACAACTTGATGTGAATTATTTCTTTCTTGAGCAATATGCTATCAAATGCATGTTTCGTAAGTCTATTATATTAACATTCAAACAATCGATCTTTTTATTTAACACAAACAATTTTGTATATACATATTTTATTTGTAATAGAAATAAGTGACGTAGTTTATTTGTAATCGATGACTCTTAAATTACTTAATAATTTATCAAAATTAAAATCAGGAAGACCTATTTATTTTTCCGATTTATAATTCAGCATAGTAAAAATACTACGTATTTAAAAAAAACCTACTTATTTTCGAAATGCTCTAATTATTTGTTAATTTTGAGACTTCTAATATTAATAACGTTTATTATGCCATAACGCGAATGTGAAAATTTTTGATTAACTTATTTTTTTCAATACGCATATATTATAAATAGTATAATGCATTGTATATTTGTCATCATAATATTTATAGGTTATCCGGTTTATCTAGATATCCGTGGTTATCCGTAAGGGTCATCTGGTTATCCATAGAATTTACTGGATATACGCAGATTAAATCTGACGGTTTATCCAAATATAGCTTTTATAAAAAGGATACAGATAAACGTATATCCAGATATCCAGGTTCAAACTCTAAGCTTCGAAGAAGTACTAAAAAGCTAACTTTAAAAAAATTTCAAATAATCTTTAAGAGAGGTTGGCTTAGACATGACTTTTCGCAAGAAGTAAAGAAAAAAAAGCCATGTCTAAATCTTAAAATTCACAAAAACAAAAGTAATCATTAACAAAGCAGTTGTCTTTTTTCTAAAGCTTGAGATTTCAGGTTAGGTGTTTGAAGCAAAACAAGCTTGTTCGTGTATAAGGTCTATGCTTTATATTTAAGACATTTTTAAGTTGACTTGGTTTGTTAAAGCATATGGGTTTATTACTATAAATATCAACCTGGGTTTATAGATAGTAGAGTTAGTGATTTGAGTTTTGTTTTACCATTTTGACTCTACTCTATATGCATCTATCTATTTTTTATATGTATATAAACCAATAAATCATACGTATTTATCGATTTATATAAACTTTTTCTTGAAGTTCTAAACACATGTAGATCTACAAATTGATCTACGAAACTAGCCAATCAGACAAATTTCTGCCTATGACACTCACAGCATACTACCTAGAGTGTCCAGAATTCTGCTGCTTTAATGATAAAATTCTGCTGCGATTACTGTTAATTTTGCAGATTCTGCGATAATATATAAATAATACTTTAAAATTTAAAATGATTTAAAAATTTAATATCTCAAAATAAATCTTCACAAACATATATATTAAATTATTTAAAAAATTAAATAAAAATATTTGCAGACAAACTATTTAAAGTTTTGTTTTCGAAACATTACACAATAAATTGAAACAAAAATTTTTTAATCAACATTATAATATAAAAAATTTAATATCGCAATAGAGTTTTCTGAAAGACGTCTTCTACGGTCACCAAGAATGTTTTTATAGGCTGAAAAACTACGTTTAACATCTACACCTAAAACAGATAACCAAATGTAAATTAATGCCATTTCAGATAAAATTGGTAACGTATTCTTTTTTTCTATCTAATAACTATTTAAATCAAAATTTTTATTGAAAATTTTCCGTAATTCACAATATATTTCCCATTCGATAATCAAATTATTTGAAGGTAATATAAATTTATCAATTTCTTTATAACTATCTAAACTATGTCTATTATTTTGTGCTTGTATGTATCTCGAATCAAAACATCTAATTGCTCTAAAAAGGGAAAGTGTGTTATGTCTATCAAGATGTTTTTTAAATTTAATCCAAGCCAAATTATAAGCTTCCTGAAAAATTTGTTTGTAGTTATTTATATTAATCCTATTCAATTCACATTTTTCAATTATTTTTCCAATTATAGGTGAATCTCATGTTCCATTTTCCAATTCTGCAGAAGTTTGTTCAATTCTTGTAATTACATATGATGCAACAGGTTTATTCCTGATCATAAAAAATTCTAAATCCGTTACCAATCTGAATACATATATGTAAAAATTTATTTTAATAAATATATATAAATATTATACAATTATGATCTTATTAATTAATAAATCATTGTACCTTTGTGCATTTGACATGATAAATAATATTAGAATTTCGAATTTGAGAATTAGCTCATTATTATTAGAAAATTGTGCCAATTCTTTAATCGTAGCACTACTATCATCAATATTAATTTCTTCCTTATAAAAAGTAATAAGAAAAAAAATATTCTGATTAATCCAAAAAATAAATTTAAACCAGGAATTGCATCTGGTTTTAACAGGTAAAGGTGGCAAAGTTATTGAAATAGTATTTTCATCTTGATTATTGTTATTAGATAAGTCTAAATTTGAATCAAAACAAGGTGGAAGTGATGGTGTAACAACAGCATTAGAAGAAAAATGACTAATCCATCTGCGTTTACAAGCTGGACAATGAATAAAAGAAGCTTTAATAAGTGAAATAATATTATCTACTAATTTAAATTGGTAATAATCTATCCATGTTCTGCCAACTAAATTATAAACATGTGCCAAACACGTATTATGATATAATTTTAAAAAAAATGGTTTTAACATTTGAAATGATTTTAACATATAGGTTGCATTATCAGAAATATAAAATCTAATATTTTCATATGGAATATTATATGATTGGATTGTTGACATAACAAGTTGTGAAATAGTCGTACTGTCAACTTTTTTTAGATGTTTTGTTGCAACTAATTTTGTTTTATTTTTAAAACTAAAAAGGATATTAACAGCTACTCTACTACAAGCATCTGTTGTTTCATCTACAGTAATGCAAATTTGTTGATTTACTGAAGTTTCTTTTAGTTTATTTAATTCTAATCCGTATAGCATTGGTAAATATTTTTCTCTAAGCTGATTAGAACCAGCAATAGAACCACCTAAAAAATTAATAAATAAATTAATTTTAATAATATCGATTTATATATTTATAATAAATATATTTATCTAATTTGCAATATTTTATAAAAAATTCTTTTAATTTATCTACTTTTTCAAGAGGTATATCTACGACAATTAAAACCTGAACAAGGTCTAGATTTATTTGCTCTCTTTCAGATATTTGTATAGTAGTAGTATTTTGTACAGAATTA